GAGAATTCTTTATCTGGTTTCTTCAGTTGTTATCAAAATATCAAAGAGGCATCAGTATTCTACAGCCATCATCTTTATTACACCTAGAATCTTAAGGTGCTATTGATATTTAGTCATTTCCAGATCTCAGTCATTGATCTGAACTCAATTCTAAGATTAAACTTTGAATTATTTAAAAGTGATCCAATTGAACTGGAATTATTGAAATGTTACCCAATCAATGTTAGACGATTTGAAAATTCATGGTATACATGCTGAAATCCCAATTGCTTCATATTTTTACACAAATAACTTCTTAAATCTAATCCATGTGTATCAATAATTGCAAATAGTAATGAATTATTTAAAATACTCCCCAATCCTGAGATATTAAAATATAAACATGTTGTATTAAATTCATTTGATATTGCTAAACATGTAAAGGTTTGGTCAAATACAATGAGATCTAAAGAAAGTGCTAATTATGAAAGTTTAAAAAAAATTTCCAACTTCTCAAATTACTATGATATGATTACAATACCAACTTTTTTCAAAGAAGCTTGGACAATGACTTATATTAATTATAAAAATTCACAAATATCTAATTCAGATAATCCAGATCAAAGAGCAATAATAAAGTACCCCAAATTAATAGAAGCTGGAAATTTAAAAAGTTATCATTTAAAAGGATTCTATCATATTACATCCATGGTCACTCAATGGTCCATTAACTGAAGAATTAAAAGACAAGAGTATTGATGCAGGTTTAAAACAGTTAGAATCATTAAAAAAAAATGGTATTAAAATTAAAGAAATTGAGAGGTTCCAATATGATTCATCAAATGATAAATTTTATTTTTTATGAAATGCAAGAGAAATTGGTATTATGAAACCAAATGATATTGAAATTTTAGATTTCTATGGTTTAAAAACTGCATTATTCAATGGATGAATTAGTACTAAACATGGATATGAGTACCTGCATAGATTTATTTATAGAACTTCCAACATTATATGATATATACTGGTGGAAAGCAGCTAGTTTATATTATCGATCATAATTTACTTATAAAATCATCATCAGGTTCATCACATCATGCTGAAATTCACGTTGAATACTCCACAAGATTTTATAACATGCTATATTCACTTAAACTTTCATGATATATATAATTATGAATATCATTATAAAATAAAATATATTATAGCGCGGTTTAAAAATTACCTTAATTAATATATATAATCTAATATATAGATATATTATAATATAAATATACGACGTACCATATGATATATAATAATTCCTATTCCTCAATTTGCTTTGATTAATCAGGATCAATATTATATTTATGTTCATCTACAATATTAGCTGAATTTATACCTGCACTTGAGTGATCATCATTGGCCTTCCCGATATTTGGTGTGAAAACGTCTTCTGAATTAGAATATGAGACCGTTGTTAATGTATCAGAGCCAGCAGAACTTATCATATTGTTTTGTACGATACAGCTGGAAAGACCCCAATCTATAATAAAAATTTTTCCATCTTTGGATATTATTAAATTGTTGGTGTTTTGTAAATCATTGTGGCTAATATGTAATATATCTTCTAATATGTTTAGTTGTCTATTATAATCAGCTTTAATGAGTTCTGTATTTAAGCCAGAAGTGCTTTTTATTTCTTCAACGTACTCTAACAACAATGCATAACCATAAAGAGCAACTTCACCTTTTGAGCTCAATTTTATCATAAAGTGGGTGTGAAGATCTGCTGTATTTATAATTAATTCATAATTTTTAGTTCTTTGACAATATTGATTATGTTTCTTGATGATTGTCAGAGCTTTTACTTCTTGATTAAAGTAATTAAATTTCACATCTGCATCTTCTTGATAAAATTCATACAAGTTAATATTGTAAACCTTGAGTATAAATTTTTTATTAGGTAAATTATCAGCCATTGGTTCAAGATTCAATCCGATTTTGATCAAATCTTGCAAATATACTTCAAATACTTGTGTAGCTGTATAGCCTTCACCACCTTGAATAACATACTGGGATATACCATTTGGAAAAAGAGTGGAAACATCACATGAAATCTCATCAATTTCCCCTGTTGATCTTGTAAAGTTTGATGATCTATTAGTGTTTGAATGACCCAATGATCTGTTACTTTGACCTTCCTTGTTGTTTAATTCCCTTTTAAGTTGTTCCTGATCAACATTTGAGCGGAACTTTAGCATAAAATCTTTCATTTCCTTTAGTTTTTTCCCTTTTGTATATTCTTCATGGATCTGTTTGAATAAATAAATGAGTGCCCAACTGAACGTAAAGCCTTGATCACTGAAGTCAATTATGCGATATTTTGTATTTATAAGATCAATCACTTCTTGTCCATTCAACACAGTTGGTGAGGCTTCATCGGTATTTAGTTCAATGACGATCATGGTGGACAAATTCGTCAACACACATGTCGTTATATTGAAAGCACTGGCGTACCCAAGCACTTGCTTAATCATATTACCCATCATTTGATTATCTGGTAAATTGAGCTGATCATCAGGGCTGCTGTTTATATAATTTTGAAATAAACTTTTCAACAGTTTGGTTCTTTTACATTCGAAGATAACCCCATTTTCAGTAATATCTGACTGAACTAATATGTCAATTGAAGTTGGACCAGTGTTTGGAGATGTACCTGGTGAAGATGATTCATTCATGACCTGATCACGATATCTACCAGTTGAGCTTTCACTGGACCTACTGGTTGGTGTTTCTTTTGTAATACTTAGACTTTCATATTTACCAATATTCGGATCAGAAAGGATTTCGTCTATCATTTGGCAAATGGAAAACATTCTATCTGTAACATGTGATTTTTCTGAAATTGGACCCTCAAGCTTTTGTTCAATTAACCTTCCTAGCTTCATTACTTTATCCTCTGTCTTTAAAGATTTGAACTTTTCCCGTTTTAATACATTCTCGATGTACTTTTTTTTTTTTCAATGCCACTAAGCTTTTTTTCGAATTCCCTATGATCCCACAATTTCCATTCCATCAACTGATTAATTTCTTTTACATCTTTCTCGCCTTGATTCATAACATTAGCGACGTCAATACATTCTTTTTGGATTGTTTCTAAACTGATCTCATCACATTTGGAGATAATTATATCTCTTAAAGACTGCATAAGCATATTATGACGTGTATGTTGTGATGGACTTAATAAAGACTTGATGATCTTTGACTTTAAACAAACTGATTTTCCTTCTTGGTCATTTTCAAAAGTTTTTTCAATCAATTGTTTTATGTAAACATTCTCTTTATCCATGAGAGGATCCAACATTTTGAATGGTTTTGTCATTGATAGTACAAACCAATTCACACCATTTAAAACACTTTCTTCATATGTGGTTGAATTTGTAACCTTGAATAGATCACCAACTTTTCGAATTTGATTAAGGTATGACTGATATTCATCAGTGCCACCAGTTGCACCTCTAGCATCATTTATCATATCAAATGTTAATGAAAAAACCTTATCTTTGTGATCATCACATATATCTCTAATTCTGTTTCTTTTAATTTCATCTGATTCAACAATATCAACATCTGCAGGCATCTGGTTAATTTGATCTTGACTCATATTTGAATTCAAACTAGTTGGAAGTTCAATAAGTAGTTTAAAAACGTTTAAGTTTCAATTATATATAATTCAAAATTGTTATAATTCTCATATTTGAAAGCAGCGCTTAATTTTGATTATATAATCAGATGGACTGTAATTACATAATCAACATTAACATTATCCAATGTTCCATAAAATTGGGGTTCTACAAAGTTAATACTATTAACAATAACTAAAAATCTGTTTATATTAATATATTTATAAAATTTAAAAACCACAAACTCCAACTGAAACAGCATCAAGCTAATTTAATCCACTAATTTAAAAAAAAAGAATTTAATTCCTTATTCATAATGAATTGGATAAAAAGCTCTATTTAACGGAGGAACAATAATTTAACACCTTTATAGAAATCAATAGTTTTAATAGCTCTATCAGCAATTCCTTCTGGAGTAAATTCAAAGAATTCATAAACATCTGGAGCTTTACCACTAGCACCGAATCTATCAATACCAACTGTAAACCAACGATTGATGGAATATGATTTTGTTTTAAAGCAATCTTGTAAGCAGCAGAAACTTCATTACCATCAGCAGGTTTCCAAAATTTCATAGCTCTGAAA